CAGTGCAATGAGTGCAATGCGATACCTCAGCTCCAGAGTGTCGAGCAGGTATCGGAAGCCTTCGTTCTCCACAATGCAATAGGTACGTATGTCTGTACATATGCAGAACATCCCCGCCCCCTCCACAGACGCTCCGCTACACCTCTCCCAAAATCTAACTGACTGCAGACAGAAGGCCGGCTTGTTTTGTTTTTGTGACCGAAGTTGCGGAAAACAACTCATGAAGTTTGACCCGCTAGAAGAGCGAGATGTGCGAGAACGCTGGGACCCTTTCTCCACCTGGATCCCCTCTATTTTTCACCGTCATGTCTCTAAGTTGTCGGACAAAGTCGCCTCCACTTCCTCTCCGCCTCGGCCGTATCTAGACACACATCGTATAGCGCAGACCACGCTTCAATATTGAGCATAAATCAAAAATTTCTGCATTAAGCTCTCTGCAACACACTGCTGCAGGAGGATAGCCAGAGAGGTAGGAGGGCAAAATAGGTTAGCGCCACCACAGCACGGGAGGGAGAATTACGCCCAGGAGCAAATGGATAAAAATAGACAGGAGGAAAAAAAAAACATGAGACGCTACTCTTGCAGACGTATCGATGCATCGGATAGTTGGCTGATGGATCGATGGATCGACACAAAACGATTATTATTTACACCCCTAGACCAGAGGGTGTCCAGTTTGGGAACCTCAGGATATCATCTCTGCTGTTAGCAGATGATATTGTCCTGTTGGCCTCATCCAACCAGGACCTCCAACGTGCACTGGGACAGTTTGCAGCCAAGTCTGAAGCGGCCGGTGTGAAGATCAGCACATCCAAATCCGAGGCCATGGTTCTCCTCCGGGGAAAGGTGGATTCCCCTCTTCAGGTCAGTGGAGAGTCCTTGTCTCAAGTAAAGAGTTCAAGTATCTCGGGGGTCTTGTTAACGAGTGAGGGATGGATGGAGCGTGAGATCGATAGACGGATCAGTGCAGCATGGGCAGTGAGGCGTTCGTTGTATTGGACTGTCTTGGGGAAGAGGGAGCTGAGTCGCGGGTCAAAGCTCTCGATTTACCCATGAATCTACGTTCCCACCCTCACCTATGGTCATGAGATCTGGGTAATGACCGAAAGGACAAGATTGGGGATACAAGTGGCTGAAATGAGTTTCCTTCCCAGGGTGGCTGGGTGCACCCTTCCAGATTGGGTGAGGAGCTCAGTTACCTGGGAGGAGCTTGGAGTAGAGTCACTGCTCCTCCATGTGGAAAGGAGCCAGCTAAGGAGGATCGGGCATCTAGCCTCCTGGTCGCCTCCATCAGGAGGTGTTCCAGGCATGTCCCATTGGGAGGACACCTGGTGGAAGGACAGGACACGCTGGAGGGATGATGTCTCTGAGCTGGCAGGCTGTTGCCTCGGGGTCCCCCCAAAGGATCTGGAGGAGGTGTGCTTGTATCAGGAAGTCTGGGCATCTCTGCTTAGACTGCTGCCTCCGAGACCCGGCCCTGGATAAGCAGAAGAGGATGGATGGATGGATGGATGGATGGATGGATGGATGGATGGATGGATGGATGGATGNCGTTCCCACCCTCACCTATGGTCATGAGATCTGGGTAATGACCAAAAGGACAAGATTGGGGATACAAGTGGCTGAAATGAGTTTCCTTCACAGGGTGGCTGGGTGCACCCTTCCAGATCGGGTGAGGAGCTCAGTTACCTGGGAGGAGCTTGGAGTAGAGTCACTGCTCCTCCATGTGGAAAGGAGCCAGCTGAGGAGGCTGGGGCATCTGTTCCTGATGCCTCCTAGTCGCCTCCATCAGGAGGTGTTCCAGGCATGTCCCATTGGGAGGAGGCCTGGTGGAAGGACAGGACACACTGGAGGGATGATGTCTCTGAGCTGGCAGGCTGTTGCCTCGGGGTCCCCCCAAAGGGTCTGGAGGAGGTGTGCTTGGATCAGGAAGTCTGGGCATCTTTGCTTAGACCCGGCCCCAGATAAGTGGAAGATGGATGGATGGATGATGGATGGATGGATGGATGGATCCTTCAGGAGGAGGAAAAAGCAGACCTGGATGTAATTTGGTCCAGATTAAAACCGGGATGATCCTGTTGTTTATTGGAGGCTTAAATTCCTAGACCCACCACCAGGGGGCAGAACTGATGAGATTAGGAGGAAGTTCCCAGAGATACTGGACCTGTTTGTCATGTGTTGCAGTTAAATAGTTAACCACAGCCTCTACTGGTGCTTCTGGGTTTGACTGCATCTCCGTACTGGGAGGAGCTACTGGTCTCTTCTATGTTTTCTGTCCCATAGAAGGAAGTTCTTCCTGTTTCTCAGAGGCAGCAGGTCACACCCACCGGGATTCTAAAGGTGTTATTCCTTCCACCATCGCCACATGCTTGGATGGAGGTGCTAAAATCATGAAACCATCAATGACCTGAATCTACAGCCGGCTGTAACCTCGATAAACTGGATTAAAGTAAGAGGATTTTTTTCTACACAATGTTTCATTCAGTAACTGAAGTTTCTGAGCTTTGAATGAAAAATTAGGTTCATCAATGAAATCCTGCAGCTTTTAATCACTAATGGATCAAAGATGGACGAATGTCTGCTTCATCACACTGATTTAGATGATTATGGTTCATTTTGGACATTGAATAATATCACAATGAACAAAAACACTTTGAAGAACGATCTAAGTTGGATTAAGAGTAAAAACACCACAAATTGAACAAAAGTTTAAAGTTCTGGGTCAAACCAGGAAATCAGAAAATGTCTCAGGATGAAGACAATCCAATTAATAACTTATTTACTCTTTACTCTTTCCAGGTCATAGTCATTCCAAAACAGTTCAAATCAATCCTCTGGACTTTGTTTCCTCGTTTGAAGACGTTTCTCTTCCATCCAGGAAGCTTTTTCCATTCAAAATGTCAGAAATAGCGTTTAGTTCCAGGTTTTATCCAGCAGCCCAACAAAGCCTGGTTTTAGTTTAGAAAACATGCAGATAGAAACGGATGAACGGGTCCCCCCCTATGCTCCTGTGTTGGGCCATGCGTCTGTGGAGAGGTTGTCTGGTTTTTCTAATATAAAGATCGGAGCATTCCTCACTGCATTGACCTGCAGATGCCACTCCGCTCAGATTAGGTCTTTAGGAAGAACTAGTCTCTGTTTCAGGGTCTGTTTGGTTTGAACAGTGGTGTCAAAACAACACACATTTGTTACTTAAAGGGGAACGCCGTTTTTTTTCCATTGGTCCTTGATTTTCCGTTATTCCATCATGTTCTACTCTCCCATCTGAGTTTAGTGTCATTTGGAGCCGTTCTGAAGATATTCCGTTAGGTTCTATCCAGTAACGTCTTCCTATGGGCAACGACTTGAAGGCACAAACTAAACTGTTCATCATTTATTCTTTATGGTACGCCAGCATTCAGAACATGGAGGCCAATCACTGTCCCCCAGACATCCACCGTTAGATTCTTCTTCTTCTATGTTTTTTTTAAAAAAGCAGCGTGTGTATGACGTCATCCGCGCGGCGGACTGTAGTAGTGACAGGCAGCCCGGGCCGCAGGCGGCTACGCTCTACCCCTTCTATTCATTCTAGCTCATCTGAATCGTTCATCTAGAGAGCGAGATCATCTGTGGTAGCAGCTCTAGACATCTTCCAGGCATGGGAGGAAAACTAGCAGCAGTTCAGCGGACAGGATGAATGATGGTAGCCGGCGCACGCGGATGATGTCATACACGCGCCGCTTTGTTTTTAAAAGATATAAATGTAAATAACCAAAAGATTCCTTAAATTAAGTGCATTTGCCCTTAATTTCAGTAGGCAAATGGGACAGTTTGCCAACTGAGTGAGTATTTTTGTTGGGATCTGGAGATCTGCCACCTTTCTCCAGCAGAGGGCGCCCCTGGGTCTCCTGAGCTGAAGCCACCAGCACACCTGCGGCTGATCATCTCATCAGGAGACCAGCTTTATAAGCAGCGGCTGAACTTCCCTTCAGTGCCGGAGTGTTAAACAGTTATGGTTAGAAAGCCTGAGCCGAACCTGTTGCCTGAATCTCTGACTGCTTAGAAAGCCAACCTGATTCTAACCTGCCTTTGTCCTCTCTGCCTTCCTAGGAAGACCTTATGGACTCAGGAGCTCTGGAGGAGCTCACATTCAAAGATCTGCCTGCCTGCTCTGTGAAGCCAAACCTGAAGATCAACAGTCTTTATCTGCAAGGTAGTTCTCAGGAGAGAACTAGGAGATCAACTCAAGGTCTGAACCTCTCAAGTCTGAAGTCAAGCCCTGCCGCTGCTAAACCCTCTGAGCCCTCAGTCTCTGAACCCTTCTGGTTCCCTCTCTCCCAACGCTCAGTCTGAACTACCATCAGAGAGTCCTGTGTTTCCAGTCCCGGACCCGTTCCAGTAGCCTATCAGTGCAAATAACTTTATTGTGTGAATCTCTCCATAAACAGTTGTTAACTTTTACTCTCTCTGTGGTGTTCTGCATTTGGGTTGAGCTCCTTAGACCCAACTTGACAATTTTTACTCTTAAAATAATATTAGATAAAATGCACTTGAAATAAGACAATGCATTTGTGTTTTCTTATTTTAAATGTAAATTGTCTCTTCGCTCCTCAATCCAAGAACAGATGCACTATTTTAAGTAAAAAAAAAACTTTTTAGATTTTTATTTTTTTATTGTAGTCAGGATTATGACTTAAAC